TCGCGCCACGAAGTGTGCCGATACATACAATTGTAGCGAAACGTCGAGATAAACCCACTTTTGGGTCACTCACAAATGACACGGTCCAAACCCGGAAGACGAATAAACTATAATTCTGACTCTGGCCGTGGAAGCCTACGATTTCAATCGTATATTTGTTAAGTCGAAAAACTTAACATTTTTTTCGAACTTAAAATAATTAAAAAACTTAAATATTTTCAAAACATACTTTCATAATAGGATTTGTAATAATTGGGAATAAACCAGCATCAATAGGACTTCTTATATCATCTTTCTTTCTCTGTGATATATCCAATTTACGCTGATACAGAGGTTTGATTTCTGAAGACGACTATTTATATTGGTTCCTTTATTTAAGTCAAGCTCTTTAAAATCATCAGAGTAAGATGTTTTGTAGCTTATTTTTATCTCTTCATGTTCGTTATTCTCAACTGTGATGACTTTTACTTCAGACAGTTTTACAACTTGGCCATCTAATTCAGCCTCGGAACCGGTAATTGTTTTATATCCAAGAAATCTCCATAGCTCATTTCATTTACAGAGAAAGGCGTCCATTTTTTTATGCTTCGAATAGCAAAAACATATTGCGAAGGTACGTATATTGGACCTGACTTAAGACATCTTTTGACTTGTTTTTCAATCAAAGAATGTACAGCGGCTCCTTCGTTCTGATTATGGCCACGTATTAAAAATTTATAGGTAATAGATTTTAATTTTAAATTTAGGACAGCGTGTATGTACATTCCAATAATGAACTGGTTTTTTTGCTGTCCACAACAGTTATCAAAATAAAAGATGACATTCAATTCTTTTTCTGTAGATACTTTAAAATACAACTTCCTATTTCATTAGCTTCGCAATTTCCTTGTGATTTATCCCAAAAGAAGCATTCAGTTGTGTCCTGTTTGAGTTCAGAGATAGTGAAATTTGAGCAATTTACTTTAGACTTATAATAGAAAGTTTATACCTCACCATTTGGAACTGGCATTACTGCTTGCAAGTCATAACATGCCCCAATAAAACTGTGTGACACGTCCTCTTTATCATTAGCCTTTTCCTCGCGACTCTTTTCTTTTTCAGCCAAATGTCGCTCATAATTTTCTTTTTGTGCATCTTTTTCACAACCTTCAGCAATCTTGTATTTAGTACATTGCTCACGTTAATCCTTCTATGGTACAAAAAACCCAATATTAAATTCCTCGTTAAATATTTTTCGATATGTGTGTTACATAGGATGATATTTGTTGTATACAGTCTTTCTTTGTAATCAAAATAAATATCTTTTACGGTTTTTCCGCCATCTATATATTCCTTCGTTGTTTGTTTCCGCAAATAATGACTTTCAATTGGAATACTATTGATGTGATGTTTTACTCCTTCTGTCAAGCCAATTGGCACTTTCCGATGTTTTCCATGTTTACCTCTCAATTCACCTTCTAGTATACCAGTCATATTATTATTTTTCTTCTCAATAACTGTTCCGATACATCTGTCTGTTATATTTAATGTATTTTCAAAAAAATGTTTTACATATTTTGCTTCTAGTACCATTGACATCAAAATAGGACGCAGTTTTTAACTTTCTAGTCGAATCTGCTTTCTTGTATTGATACTTTTGGATGAATCTCTTCAACGTTACTCGCGATATATTCCCTTTGTCTGATCAGCGAAGCCATTCCTCAACAATCATGGAATAATCGTTTTCTTGATTCCTCATTAATTTTTTCTGGGCATTTCAGGCGAGAACTTATTCCACAAATACTTTTTATAGTTTTAGCTGGGAACACGTTTGATCTAGAACTCGAAACATATTCTTGTTCAAAGTCTTTTAAAGACTTAGTCGTTTTAGCACATCGTTCATTTTTTTGTTTTGTTTCCAAGGTTTGTCGATCCTATTTCCAACAGTGAATGGAATATCTTCCACGACATTTTTAAAAAATGTTTTACATATTTTGCTTCTAGTACCATTTACATCGAAATAGAACGCACTTTTTAACTTGCTAGTCGAATCTGCTTTCTTGTATTGATACTTTGGATGGATCTATTCAATATTACTTGCGATTGTCTGATCAGTGAAGGCATTCCCAATAATCATGGAATAATCGTTTTCTTGATTCCTCATTAATTTTTTCTGGGCATTTCAGGCGACAACTAAATCCACAAGAACTTTTTATAGTTTTAGCTCGGAACACTTTTTTGATCTAGAACTCGAGACATTCTTGTCCAGAGTCTTTTAAAGACTTAGCAGTTTTGGCATATCGTTCATTTTTTTTTGTTTCCTAGGTTTGTCGATCCTATTTCCAACAGTGGATGGAATATCTTCCACGATATTATTATGTAACTGTTATAAAATTAGTTATATATATATATATATATATATATATATATATATATATATATATATATATATATAACCACTGTGTAAGCTTTTTATGGGTAGTAGATAAAATACAATTTTCTTATCAGAAATGCATTACTTACGCTAACTGCGGCACGACAATTTACTTTATCAGTTTAATTAGCATATTACTACCAAACAAAATTATTTTTGTTTTGCCTTTTAGTTAAAGATATTTTTTATTTATAAAAAATAATTTAGGAATGTTGAGCTACTACATATAATCACAATTCTATGTGCATTATAAAATTTAGTTATATAATTATTTTAGTTTTCATCATCTGAATGTTGAAAATTTTCTTTTATTGTCAGTTATACAAATAGATTTGATTTGATATTAAAACATTATAAATGTACAGTTACATAGATTTAAATTAATATAGTATAATTTTCTGTAAAATGTAGCTATCTATAGATATGCATACAGACAAGATTCAGAAGTCATTATCATCATACAGCCTTTATTTATCCCGTCCACTGCTGGTTATATGTAAGCATTTAAACGGACCGCTTTGTGTAGCTCGGTTATCCAGCTATCCGTTGGAATGCTCAGCGAATGTGGTCCGTTTAAATGCTTATCTTTAATAGACGGCAAAATACATGATTTAGCTAAGCAATATTTTCTACTGCTTTCCATAATTCATGGCATATGGTAATCTCACTGAAAAACAAATAAACTGTTGTTACTATAGATAAAATAATATAAAATAAAATTATCTTTTATAAATACTATTTATATTATTAAAACCATTTTCCCTACTTTTCATCTCGTAACTTCAATTACGTTAAAAAACACGTTTAAATTCATGTCTGTGGAAACGAAAATACAAATAATACAACCCTGAATCGTACTTCTGTTTGTCGTGTCATCGCCGCGCTTCTATCGTCCACAAGAAATACATGGTCCTATCTCGGCAATGTGATTTTCTTAACGTGTAACGCTCTATAGGTGTGTACCTACTTCAATAATTAGAGGAAATTGAAATGAAACGTCTAGAATGACCTGCTATAAGCTCGGCTTAAATTAGACCGAGCATAGCTAGGATCAATTGGAGAAAGGTCTTAAAACTTGTTGTGTTCGTCCAGAAACGTTGTACTATCGAAAATTTTGAGAATATTGATAATAAATTAGTATTACCTTATATGATTTACTAAGCCTGTCGCCTGTCTTTGTGATAAGTATTGAAAGAAAAAACCTAAAGTGTTGAAACTTTGTACATAATTTCCTCTTGGTCTGATGAATAACTGTTGAATTTCGGTTCAATAAGTCATCAAGCTCCTATTTATCAGATAACTCAGAGGGGAGGTACCTGGTGTACAGTTCCTTTAGGTCACAAATTTACAAAATCTATTAGTATTCTGGATCTAGGACCTAATTCTAGGACCTAATTCTAGGACCTGTAAATCTATAGTATTCTGCAGGTCAAAATAAGTTGGTTTTTAATATTCCGTTGAATCGATTTATTTTGGTTCAATTTTCATGTGTTTTTTTGCTGGTGTGGTTTATATTATATTTTTTTAATGAAATTATGGAATGCGACGCTTTTATGAAACTGTGTATAAATTTGTCACAAAATTACAAATAGAAACACCAGTAGAGCTCGTTATATGGATTGTAGGTTTTTAAAAATAACGCTTCAGATTTAAATCAAGCTTGTTCTATAAACAGTTTCCATTAGAATAAGTATTTTTTATATGCCATATAATGCTTTCATAATACTTTGTAACATTAACGTTGATATTTTGTTTTTGTAACATGTTTGTTTTATATTATGAAGTCATATTGTATTTATGTTTGATACATTGTTAATAAAAAAACACAGAAGTTAAAACACTTCACAATTGTGTATTTTGGTATAAAAACATACAAGTACTTAAAAACTTTTTAAAAGTGTCGTCAACATTTAAAATTATGGCAGAACGTTTTCAATCTATACAGATCATCTTCAGTGCCTTTGGTATTTGGTGCTAACAATATGGTGTCTATAAGACTTCCATGTGTTGGTTTAAAAATTTATCACATTTTACATTTAATAATGTTGAGAGTCTAGGTCGATGACAATGGAATTAGTTTTAAATTAAAATTTACTTTAGGGACTACATGTCTCTTAAGCTCGAATACTTGCACGTGGTACTTGTCAGTTGAAACGACGACACAGACCAAAAGTCGTCGTTTCAACTGACAAGTACCACGTGCAAGTATTCGAGCTTAAGAGACATGTAGTCCCTAAAGTAAATTTAAATTTAAAACCAATTCCATTGTCATCGACCTAGACTCTCAACATTATTAAATGTAAAATGTGATAAATTTTTAAACCAACACATGGAAGTCTTATAGACACCATATTGTTAACACCAAATACCAAAGGCACTGAAGATGATCTGTATAGATTGAAAACGTTCTGCCATAATTTTAAATGTTGACGACACTTTTAAAAAGTTTTTAAGTACTTGTATGTTTTTATACCAAAATACACAATTGTGAAGTGTTTTAACTTCTGTGTTTTTTTAAACGATGGTATGCAGCCAATTACGGGGTTTTTCCCATTAACATTGTTAATATTTTTTAATTTCAATTTAGATTTTATCAGACTATTTCTGGAAAAACTTAAAGACATCAAGAATGAAGAAGGTACCTCAACTATATGTAGGGCAGCATATGATCAAACATTATCGAAACATCATCCTTACCTGATCAGGTCTGGGGCACAAGTAGCAATTTATACACTGCCTACTAAAGAAGTATTACTAGAAAGAGTAAGTTGATAAATCGTTATTTATTGTATGAAATGTTTGAAATATTTTTCTTTACATTCAGTCTTCTTTATTTTCTTTTATTTAAGGGTCAAACGAATAAAAAATCTTTTTTTTCTGATGAACCTTTTATTTGGCACTCGTATACCAAAGACTTTTTTTATCAAGCCGACATCTAATCCACCCATAACAACAGAAGTTTTGCAGAAGCCTTACTCTGCTGAATATTCGCCTGTAGGATCCTGATTACCATCATTGGGACGGGAGTTCTATATAGAGCATTGAAGCACTGGATATTAGCGCGGGAGGACGTACAGTAGTTTGATCCCTAGCTGATTTCGGCATAGGGAAAGAATGACTTGACGATTGGCAGTTGACGTATGACAGTTCACGTTTGATGGATGACGTATGACAAATGGATGAAAGACTAATTGACAGATGCGCTCTGACATACACAAGGCCGAAGGCAGAATTAGTAAAAACATAATTTTCATGTGCGTAAAATGAAAATTCGCGATAAAGGTATAAAAATAACGTTTAACTTGCTTATGGAAAATCGAAACTCAAAGTTTTTGAAAATATGGTATGAAAAATTTGAAGTTTGACTTGAAATAATGGCATCAAGAAAAAACGAGATGTGGTACCTCAGGAGTGACCGAGAAGGGGAAGCGTAGTTTTTTTATCATCTAGGCATGGAGCGATGTTTGTTAATTTAATTTCATTTAATTTATTTTATTTTATTTCTTTTGTTTTCTTTTATTAATAAACACGTATGGGACTGCGTTTACTGCTCCACGTAGTATGTGGTCGTGCGATCTTTTATTACATTGCGTTTCTGTTGTTTTCATTTTTTTCCACCTCTGATCGATCCATTGCACGACCATTGCATTCCGTCAGTAGCCCGCTATAAGAAAGCTATGCTTCCAAAATTCACTCTTTTTTGAGTATTATCTGTATATATTTTTGTGTGGAAGGGACTAACCTTCCAACCAAAGAAATGTTAATTTCATACACCACTCAAAATACGATTTTTTTCTTCATTTGAAAGGCTTAACGGTAACCGAAAACAAAGTAGATCTGGATTCAACACTACACTATTTGAATCGAATTACTTTACAGTCATTAAAAACGGATTATAGAATTGAAACGTGTCTTTATGAACACAAGGACTAAATACGTAGTGAACGTCCAAAAACTGCTACTATCTCGGACATCGTTTAAAACGTACACCGTGTCATATTGGATGACCATTGAGACCAAAGTGCACGAGATAGCTTATATAGCGGGTATCCCGAACGACACCGTGCACTTACTTTTAACTCTAAAGAAAAAATATTTGTCGTATTGGCTTACGTTGTTGTTATTATAGGAGAAAAAGCTTAATCATGTGGGTCTTTTTAAAAGTGTTCACCACAGTCTGAAGGAGTTTTACGAATTTCATAACTTTGGACGAAATCTAAGTCCATTGAAGAAGCTGTACCCTCTGCATGAGATGCCGCTGGACAGAAAGCTTGAGGTTCCAGTGATTGAAGAGTCAGTCGGGACGGGGGTTAATCAGAGGTGGGCAATCCTACTGTTGTTTGACGTCCGTAAGGTCCTATGCTATATTAAAATAGAAAGAGGTAATGAAGGCTTTACGAGAGAGAAGGTGTCCGAGGTACTTGATGAATTTGGTTTCCGACTATCTGTCAGAGGAAAATTGTGGTAGAAAAGGAGTAGTGGTTGACGTGACGGCTAGAGTGCCGCAGAGGTCGGTCCTAGAACCCACGCTGTGGAACTTGACATATGACGTAATTGTGAGCCAACAATACGGAGAGGGTGTAACCCCTTTCGCATTTGCGGACGACCTCGCTATGCTGGTAGTGGCGCGGGTCAGGGAGGGCCTTATCTTAGCGACCAAGTGGAGGAATGGATGAAAATGCATGGCCTAGAACTGTACTGCGGGTAAGACCTGGCTATAGTTCTCTAGGCATCAAGGGAAAGGGACGGGATAACATTCGAATGTGGAGGAACGAGAGTGGTTCCAAATAAATTCGTGAGGTATTTAGGGTTGACTCTGAGTCAAAACGGAAAGTGGGTGACTCAAAGAGCTGCGGTGAGAGAGGAAGAGTCTATTGAGGGTGGCATGTGCATACAGAACAGTCTCTGCCGAGGCGTTGGGAGTTATTACAGGAAGTATTCCAATGCACGTGTTAGTGAAGGAAAGTGGAAGAATATACGAAAAAAGAAATGAAGACATAGCAATAGATAGTTTAAAAAAAGGAAAAAGGGGAGAGGTCCGTAATGGTGTGTCAAGAGGAATGGGACGAGATGAGAAGGGTGGCGCAGTGAACGAAGTCGCTGATTCCTAATCTGAGAAGATAGATGGACTGCGGGCACCGGCGTTTGGATTACTTCCTGATGCAGATGCTCACAGGACATGGTTGCTTCAGGGCATACCTTTACAGATTTGGAAAGGCAGAAAATAACAAATGCCTATACTGTGGAATATCGGACACTGTCTCACACACTATTGGTATGCGATAGATGGATAGGTGAGAGGAACCTGCTTGAGAGTGAGCTTGGAGGAGGGTGCATTTACTCACTGGTGGAGGAGATGCTTAGATCGTCAGATCGGTGGAGAGCAGTTCAGTGATATGTGAGGAGAACGGCGGAGAGGAAGAAACAAGAAGAAAGGCGACTCGAAGGGTGGCAGGGTGCCCAGGAGCAAGCAAGAAGATAAGGCAGAATGAGAAGGGGCAAGATTGAACATGAACAGGGAGGAACAGAGGGAGAGAAGAATTCAGTCGAAGTGAGAAAGTGCTAGAATGCTTGAGAATTGTGCGTGAATGAGAGATCGGGTGAATGCGTGCCGATGTTGCGTCCCAATCAGGGTGATCCGGCCGGAAAGTCATTGCTGAGGAGGATGGTTTATTAACAAGTAAGTCTCTGGCATTGAGGGCGATGGTGTCCGAACAATCCCTGCACGCGGTCTCGGATATCATCGTGGTGACGTTGGAGGTATCCTGCATAACCGAGGCTGAAAGTTGGTTCTGCCCACCTTCTAGTACCGAGGTATGTTTCGAACATTTGGACCACCCCCCTCATAAAAAACGAAAAAAAAGTCCATTAAAGAAAGCAAAAGAATCTGTGACAAGTATGTTATGGAATTCCAATGAACTTATCTTGATCTAACTGCTTAGAAACGGATCAAATAATAAATGGCGATTATTACGTACGCTAATTTTATTGCATCAATTTGGTGACAAAATCACATTCGAGTAGCATCATTTTGCAAATAAGTGCTTAATGTACTTTTCGTTAAAGATAGTGGATTTGTCCACAAGCCGGCGATATCAGTGGTCAAAATTAATGAATTGATTTTGAGATTAGTTCCTCATTTACCTTATTACCACTTTGAATTACTTTAAACATTCAATTTTATGTTAAATATTATGTTTATATTGGATTAAGGCACATTGGTTGTATTGAAAATTACATTTTGTTAGGTTTACATATAGGTTATACAACTGTTTGTTGTGTATTATTGGCAGTTGACCAAATTGACAGCAACTCACTCGGTCTCGATCTGGCCAGCGGATAGTTTGCTCATGGTTTGAGTTGTTTAGCTCATGTATAGGTGATGTGTCTGTCTGGTGACATATTGGTATATTCTTGTTGCTGACTTCTTTTAGTATTGGCAACCAAAGCATGGTTGCCAATACTAATTTTTTTCCATTAAATAAGATGCTGTTTCTTTGAATTTCCTCTTTTTCATGTATGTTTCTTTCATGACCATTCATGCATTGTTCAATTGAACTTTGTGCTCATTATCCCAGGCATGTTTGCATATTTGTGATCTGTCGAAGTCCCTGTTTTTTATGTATGTTTCATGCTCGTTTACCCTGACACTTATTGGTCTTGCGGTTTCTCCCATATAGAAATTGTTACATTCACAGGGTATTTTATAGATGCAGTTCTTTGATTTCTCTTATGTGTTTTTTGGTTTGGTATTTGTCGGAATACAATATATTGGTTGTTTGATGTTGTTATTTTAATGTTGTTGTGTTATGTTGTTTCCTTTCTTCAATCTTGTGAAATTTCTTGATTATAAATGACAATGGGTCATCATTTTTTGTTAAAACGTTTGTTTCCTGAAAATGTATTTTCATTGGTAATTTTATACTGACATTTTTTTTTAATACTAAAATCTGCGAATTCGAAGTGTAACTATTCTTTTTAGTTTTTGGATATCTAAATCGCTTACTTATAAATTTTCTTGTTTAGGTATGTGGAGATGAAAAAGTTATACTGGAAGCAATGGAATTACTACCACACACTTTAGAAATCACTGCTCTTGTGTATGATAGGTTGGAAAACATGTATACTGAACATAAACTTCACGATCTTCCTTAAATCATTAGATTACTTCACATCAGTATTATCAATGTTAAAGAGAAAACAATTATTGCTCCAAAAACGGTTGACGATTCCAGTGCTACATCCATACTTTCGATAGGAGCGGAGGGCAAGGCCGAGAGTATGGTTTGGTGAATCTTCATTCGATGTCGATTTACCACCAAGTCAAGATCGCAAGCTAAAGAAGTTTCCAAGCTCATCACACTCTCGATATTTTGTAGGTTTATAGTCCATGTTGGACCGATAGTGTGATCTCTATCGAATATCGGAAGCTCACCAACACTCAGGTGTATCTCGAGAATGTGGAGCTAGCATAATATATTATATTATTTATGTAAACTTGAAAGTAACATTTTATTCTCCAGTCGTCAAAGACGAAAATGCCATTGAACCCCTAAAAGATATTCGAACAAGCTGGGGTTTTAGGGGGAAACCCGTGGTAAAAGTGGTAAACTTTTTTGGGTCCCAAAATTATTATTCTCTGCAACATTCAGCTTATTCGTATGATTTTTAGGGGTCAAATCTCTGCTGACTGGACTATTTATGAAATATGGAAAATAAGCAAAAATACTACATACTTTGTTACAAAACTAACAAACCAAAACTGATGCAATCGCTTTAGTAAGACTCTTCATTTATGTTTATATATAATATATATATATATATATATATATATATATATATATATATATGTATATATAAATATATAAACTTTGTTAAATACTATAAACAAACATCAAAGTCTACATATAATTTATCAACTCTGTATTAAACCTTCGTAATCAGAAAATCTTGACTATGATCGCTGTCGGCATTGGTGTATTGTGTGTTTAAAATCTTGACGTGAATCCTAAACCTTGTGTCTAAAAGCGGCTTCCCACGATTGACGATTCTACAGATCATCGCGGACAGCCGATGAACACGGACGGCAACGCATCGCAGACAGAGCTCTTCCTACGATCCGTGACAGTCTGTGTAGGTCTGTCTGTCTGTTTGATTTAACGTTATTTCAAAATACCAAGTGAAAGAGAACGTATCGTATTAAAAAATATAACAATCAATAATAATACAGTTTGTTTTAAATTCTAACCACAGTGTATTTAACCGATAAGTACCTATACCTATTTCTGAAGTACAAATGCATTTTCGCATATTATTTGTGCATAGGCAGCTTGTTTTAAGATGCAAGTTGCACGCATATTTTGGACATTTTGTAGTGCATATTTTTCAGTCTTTAGTAATGACAAGATATAGATTGATATTAGTAGTTACATAGGTATAAAGTTTAATTACAATAAATATTTAATTACCTCAGAATTGTTCTTTTTTTTTGGTTTATGGACATCATCCAAAAAAATTGCCATTATATCATAAAAATGGCACTCAGGCTTGTAAACATCATCAGTCTCACTACCAGTTCCCATGGATTCTCGGTTTGTTTTTTGCCTTCTGTATGTCGACAATAAATTATCTCTCTTCTTTTTTAATTCTTTAATCGAAATAGTACTATTCTTCAATTGATTTTTTATTCGGTTCCATGCATCGTATACATCGTTCCGGTTCTTATGTTCTGGTGCCGTGGAATTCCATAAACTTGGTTCATTTTGATGCAAATTTAAAAAATCAAAAATAACTTCGTTTGTCCATTTCATTTTTTAGCAAAAAACTGCAAAACAACTTTGACAACACTGCAAACAACTACTCGTGCCAGCGAATGAAAAACTTCTGACTTTCACTTGTCGTCTGTTAAAACACAGACGCGCTAGGATCGCGTCGCACGGGCATGTACCGCACCTTTGATGTTACCGACTCTTGACTAGGATGCACCAGCATGGACGTACCTGCGCTACCACGAACCAGAACTTTCCCACGGTGCGTGGGTGCGGGCTGGTCCGCTTTCGTCAAATCAATTATTTAATATTCCATTGTTCTACATTCGATTTCAACGTCTTAAGATTGTTAACTAATTGTTTCACTAATACATTCGTATATCAGATTAATACAACTTAACCAAATCGATTGCATCATTTTTATTCTTAAATTTCTATTTGTAACAGTCAGTTGCAAAACATATTTATTTTCGTTATTATACCAAAACTTTATACCAACTTTATTTAGTTTTCTCTTTATAAGCTTATACTAGCCAAATGGCTATTTTTTATTCATCCACTCTCTTGCCTTGAGTCACAATATTTCCTATATTTTTATATATTATTACAAATAAGTAAGGGGGATCCAATAAAAGTTGTAATTTTAAATATAAGAAACTATCATATTCATGGTTTTATCTATGTACATTACTTACAAGAAATTTTTATTCTTATATAGTATTAAGTATTAGCTTGAAATAATTGTGCTCATGTAAGGCCCCTGGATCCGAAAAACTGCGAACTGTGAATTCGGACGAAGCCCGTTATAACGAAATCGTGCGAACGCCGATCGTCTATTGCCTCAGTATTCGTCCGAACTCTTTGGTGTAATGATGGCTGTACGGAACGGTCTTTCTGATTCCGAGGAAGAAATTTTCTTTTTGGAACAATCCCCTTTAATGTATCGACGTGTCAGGAAATATAGACAAAAATAGAGGTATGGGATAATCTTATTTACGCAAAAAGAAACGAGTTTGGGCAATTTGCTCATTTGTGGTATGACCTCCAAGTCAACGATGACCACCACTTCTCCTATTTTTAAATGAAAAAGCATAGATTCTACATTAAAATACATTCATGCTAAGCCGAAAAATTCTGTAATTTTCGAGAAACGACCTTTCCACGTGAACGGCTGGTTCTAACGTTAAGGGAAGTGTACCAACAGACAAAAAACAATGTCGGATTTTTTTATTAATACAATATTATATACAATTATTTTATTTTATACAATTATTTATACTATACGAACTGTGTAAATTGGGCTTTAACTAAAGTTAGATCCCAAAAACACACAAAATGTATTTATGTTATTTTTTATTAATTAACAAGTTAGATATTACATCCAAGAAGAATGGTAATTCAATTTCAGTTTTTCATGAAAGGGGGAAAGTTCGTAGTTTCAGCATCTTTCCCTCTTAGGTGGTTTTTTGAACAATTTCTTGGCGCTGAAAAAATCTCGCGTGATTCAAGTTTCGTACTATTTTGCAATTAGATCCCAACATGCTGGGATCGGCACCGGCATCATTCGAATTCGGACGAAAATGTACGCACGCACACAGTGGACGCGCTCCTCTTCGAGCCACGTGTTTGGATTTTTCGTCCGACTTTGGACGAATTAATTTCGCAGCTTTTCGGATCCAGTAGACGTGAGGCCTAATGGTAAAATCTAATGTTATATCTTCGATCCTACAAATATTGTAATTTTAGAACTGAAAGTCTAGTATTCACTTTTAGGCAAAACTGTATCACATATTAATATATACACAGCCAATTAGAAAATTACGTGTTCTTCATGTCTAAAAGTACGTATTTGCGCGCCTAAAATTGTAGATGAAATGTTTACAAACAAATGTATAACCTAAATTATTGTTTACAATTTTCTTAATGAAATTTTAAACAATATAATATCTTTATAATGACAATAAAAAATTATAAATGTCATGTACTGATATTTAATATATTGCTAACCAGTGTCATTTAAATGTAAGCACAACCTACTCTAATTACGATTTTTCTCTAAAGTTCTTTAAGCAGTGTTCGAGTATGACATGACGTCCAAGCCTCTGCTACTACTTTAACTTCTACTTTAATAACGAGTGCTTTAAAAATATCGTAATAAAAAAAAACAAGGAAAAATGAGGAATTCCTTGATGCTAAAATATATTATTCTTATTAGTTTACTAATATTCTCTTGCAAGGCTAGTAGGTACCAAACACTTTCCGATCTTCTTGGATTAACAAAATTAAATGAAAATCGTACGAGTTCTTCCCAATCATATTCAGTTTCTCATCGTTTACCGTGATTTGCCGGTCAAGTCTCTTTGATATATCTTTTTGGTTAGGAAGCACCATACATTTTCAATGGGGGTTTAAGTAAGCTTTTATCCTGTAAAATATAACAATTACTATAAATACTTACGAGTAAGTATTTATATGTCATTTGAAACATCATTTGAAAGCTCTTCTGTTACTCGGTATGCTTTTCACAGAGTCAGTTTAAGATCATTATTATAATTCAATCACTCATTTGTGGTATTAAATATTTTACTAAGTATTTGAACTATTGAACTTGTCCCTCTTTTGAAAAGCGTTTATGGACACTATATGTATATAGTAGTAGCATCGAGCTGTTAATTAGTTCTTAAATCTTTCCATTATCCTATCACCCTTTCCCTCTTCAGACATTCCTTTTGTTTCACATACTCTTGATTATTAATTTGTAAATATTCTTTAGTAGTTTTTATTCTTTCGGATTTCCGTATTTTATATAGTTCTGTGAAATGTGTCGATTTTAATCACTGATCGACATCTACTTTGCTGTAGTCAGTCTTTCAATAAAAGCAGGTGGTGTCCTTAATAAACGTGCTAGAACAATATTGATGATAATAGCATTGTTCAGAGACCAGCGAAATTAAGGAGAATTATTTCGTCTAAGAATGGATGGAATGAGACACGTAAATAGATAGTGGAAGTGTAAAACATTTTCTGTATCATGGTTTTGAGATTTATTCGGAACCGACTTCAATCAACTCCTCTGTTGGTATTTAGGCTATCGCTACTATGAAATACTACTTTTGTCTACTAGTATATACTAAAATTTAAAGCTAGCTGTCGATGTATATTTTATAGGTGAGGATTTAATATTTGATTAACCAAATACAACAGCTAAAACCACGTAATTACCTGGGGAATTTTTGACAAATATATAAAGTATAATAAAGCCCCAGAGATTTACTGTACTCCACCGCTTTGATTCTCAGTGTAACTTTTTTCTCAATGTGTATGACCATAATTTACTACTTGTACTTATTTATATAGACATGATTTATATATATATATATATATATATATATATATATATATATATATATATAATTCAATCAAAGGGTGTCAATGTTTGATGAACAAAAAAATTCCTCATACTTCAATTTGCGTGATGTTAAATATACTGCTCACCAAAAATAATGCACTTTTACAAAAAACTATAGTTTCTAGATATGGAACCAGTGATATTTTTAAGAAAGTAATCATACTCTATCTTTCCTCTTCTATTAACGGTGTAATGTTGAAATATACTGCTCACAAACAATAATGCACTTCAAGAAAAAATTATAGTTTCTGAATAAGGAAACAGGGGTATTTTTTAAGAAAGGAACCTTAACCTTTACTCTTAAATTAACAGTGTAGATGAGACGACTTTTTAGAAGCGGTTTTAACTATCCAAACTGATTTGTCTACGTTACATATTGTCTATTTAATTTATAAAATTTATGAAATTGTTCACTATTGGTGGATTTACATTATCTGTGATTTTATGAATTCATAGCCTTTTCAAAATACTATTATTACCAAGTCTCTGTCAAAAAAGTCCACAGAAATTCTTGAAAATGTTTCCATTTGTTGTCCAAGTTAACATGGTTGTAGTATTTTCTCTGTAATTATAGTTCGACATGTTTGGTACTGATTAACAAATTATACTATAATATCATCGTTA